AGAATTTTTTGAAATGTTGTATCTTTGGCTATGTATATTTTCACCAAAAAAAAAGGTTGAGAAGGGAGAGGGTTGACATGTTGTGGTGTTGTTAACCAATGTCATAAAATAATATGTGTACTACTGTTTCATGAGAAACTATTTGTTCTGTAAGCCTTCACCTGAAATACAATAAAAAAAATAATAAGGTCACATTCACAGGTACTTGAGGTTAGGACTTGAACATATCTTTTGGGTGGGGAAGACAATTCAGCCCATAAACCTGTATTTGCAAACTATGGGGATACTTTATCCCGTTGTCGTAGAGTCAATTCTGACTCACAGCAACCCTATACAACTGAGAAGAACCGCCATATACAGTTTCCAAGGCCGCAAATCTTTATGGAAGCAGACTGTCACATCTTTCCCCTGCAGAGCGGCTCGTGGGTTCAAACTGCCAATCTTTTGATTAGCAGCTGAGAGCTTAATCACTGCGCCACAAAGGCTCCTGGGGATACTTTATAGTGCCCACCTAAGTACTACATACAAAAGCACTTTTACACACGGGGTATAGTTGTCTTCAATTTATACACTGTTGTGAGCTGGCTGAGAATCCAGCTACTATGTACAGGCTGCAATGAGGAAATGCACTTCTCCTTCCAAAGACATTAAGGCAAATTTTTAACCCAGCCTCTGGAGAAATATATTTGGGAATATGCTAAACATATGCCACAATATTATAGTAAATAGGCCATAGTATACCTAGAAAAGTGTTATGGATTGTATTGTGTCTCCCCAAAATAGGTTGTAAATCCTAACCTCTATGCCTATGATTATAATCCCATTTGGGAATGAGTTGTCTGTTATGTTAATGAGGCAGGATTAGTGTAGGGTGTGTCTTGAGTCAATCTCTTACAGATATAAAAGGAGCAAGCAGAGATGGGGGAAGATAGACACTAAACCACGTGGAGATCTCCAAGGAACCAGGAAACAGAAGCTGAAGAGACAAGTACCTTCCCCCAGGGCCGACAAAGAGACAAAAACTTCCCCAAGGGGCAGTGCCCTGAATTCGGACTTCTAGCCTCCTAAACTGTGAGAAAATAAATTTCTGTTTGTTAAAGCCATTCACTTGTGGTATTTCTGTTATGGCAGCACTAGATAACTAAAACAAACTGTATTCTTAATATTTGCAAAATACATATTTTATTTTCCCTGAGGAGCAAGTCAGTTAATGCATATCAAATGTCATAGTCATGCACAAATTAAAGTAAGAGATGTGCATTCTCTGGTCTTCAGTAATTTTGTTTCCAATTTAGAATATGGCAACACTTCCCTTGTTCATGGCTCCTCCCTCAGAGCGGGTACAGTGGTCGAGGTGCTCACGGCCCCTCCCCCAGAGCAGGTACAGCAGTCTAGGTGTTCACGGCCCCTCCTCCAGATTTTCTTTCCCTTTTGTTTGTGCTTTAATCCTAACAGTTTTCCACCAACATTAGCAAATATCAAGTAAGCATCTGTCTCTAGTATTTTTCTGCCACTATACAGAATAATATATTCCAGTTACAGCATCTTTCCTTACTATCCTATATATTAAATTTCCATTTAATTCAAGGCAGCATACAGATCCTTAAAGACCCAATACAGAAGACTGCTTGATAGAAACAGGGAAGATAAAAAGTCTCTGCCTACAAAAAATTTACAGTCTGTTAAAGAAACAAACATACACACACGCGCACACGTACACACATCACACAATCATTCAAAAACCAAACCCATTAGAGTCAAGTCGATTTTGACTCATGGTGACCCAATATGTGCAGGGTAGAACTGCACTCCATAGATGTTTTCAAGGCTGTGACCTTTCAAAAGCAGATCACCAGACCTTTCTTCTGAGGCACCTCTGGGTGGGTTTGAGCCACCAATCTTTTGGTCAGTAGCTCAACTCTTAACCTTTTGCACTGCCCAGGGACTCCTGTAATCATTCAAGGCAGATTATAAATTATATGCTATAGGAAAAGCAAAAAAGGAAGGATTAATTTCTGATAGAACAATCAAGACAATTTTCATGCGAAGCGTGTCATTTAAGTCAGGCTTAGAAATATGGTTTATATTTTAATTGAAGGAAATAAGGTGAAAAGCACATCAGGCAGAGGAACAGCATGAACTAAGGTA